ACTTCTTTTAGTTAGAGCGGAGAAATCGAGGTTTTTCATTTTTTGGATCAGCTCTAACTAAAAGAAGTTTTTGGCGATAAAGACATGCTCAAAAGCTGAAAGTTTGATCAGCAACGGATAGCCGGTAAACTTTTCTATCGAATGATGTGTTTTTGAATTTTTTTCGCGCAATTCTCTTGTTTAGGAAACGTGAAATACTCAGGAAGTAAGATTTTCCAATTGTGTATAACACCGCGTTTTTGCTTTAGCTCAGTCAAATTAAGCCGAACTTAACCATTTTGTCAAGGTTTATAGTACTCAACGTAGGCTTTCTTTTGGCGAAAGAACGGAGCCTGTATTTATCAAGGAAGTTGAGTTATTGCAAAAACAAAAAAGGTCTTAAACTTTTGTGGAGCACTTTTACTGGTACCGGTACCGATACTGGTGCATACCTAATTTTCACCCATGTACATTAGGAACCCCTCGAATAGGGTTCCCGATTAGCTCTGGAAGTGAGAGGGTGAGCTGTTGTTTGATAGAAAGCAGGTTCGAAAATTTGGGCAGAAAGTCAGTTTTTTTTTTCTACCGGGATAACTAATAAAAACGTTAATCTGACGAGTTTTGTCGAAAATATTAGTGTCCTTGTTGCACTATTTTACCTCTCGTAGATGGAAGTCTCTCTTGTTGAAGTATGTTAGATCAAGAAAGAAATAGAAAGATATACCTTATTTGACACGGTTCTAATACTAACTAACTAATAGAAAAAAGAAATTACACAGAAAGAAAGCAAACAAAATAAAAGATGTACAACGGACATTTTACCATTATGCGACACAGAAGGGTTGAAAAGTGGACTTTGTCAAACTCTCTCGATTAATCCAATTGCTACAATAGAGAGCATACTATGAATAGCGCAAAAGAATTCTTCTTTTAACAGAAAGTCAGTCATCAGGGAAAAGTACCCCCAGCTCTCCTCCCCAATCGAGAAGCCTGCATTGAGCTTGGAAGGACATGTCAGAATATTCTGCGCAAAAACATACTGATTTTCTTTTTCAGTGTTCTATTTCTGTTATGAATCTGAAAACGATCGGACATTTGCTCCACATTTCCCAATAAGGTGGAAAATGGGAGGGAGGAACCATTAATCTTACCTTGATCGATATATGTTGTTACATCTAATACGGGTATTTTATAAATTTTTTCTAAATAATTTCGAATGTCGTCTTTTGTCATTCTAAGTGAAAAAACAAATAAATAAACATTTAACGAACCAGACTGATAGAGATTTTAAAAGTTCTACTTACTCAATGTGACACTCGAATCGAACACAATTCGGTCTTATCGGACGATTTTCCAGTGGTCTCATTACTCTCATCCAAAATTGTGGAAAAAATAGACGATGGCGAGGGTTACCCGGTTGCCATTTCGGGTATCGGGGCGTTAGTGATTGATACAAATACCGTCTGAAAGCAAAGTGAGAGTTTTAAAGGAGAATACCGAAAGTAAAACAAAGTACTTACAATTCTGGAGGTAAACGCATTTTAATTATTATCTAAAAGTAAAGTTTAGTCAATACTCAAGCAACGCAGGCATGGGACTCAAAAATATATTTTCTAGAAAAAGAACAAAAACTTTGGAATGTAGAGAAACACGCTTAGAATCTCCGGTTGTTAGAAAGAATTATTGTATATCGTGAAGAGTTAAAGGTCTAGCCTCAGAGGGTTAAGATCAAAGTTGCCAAATCTCCTAATTTTTAAACTTTTCTCCTGATGAAAATTCTACTGATTTCAGAAATTGATTTTTAAGATTTTCTCCTGATTTTCAATTATTTTCCTGTATCGAGTTTAGCGCTTCGATATTCGTTTTGTTTTGGTTCTTGTCGGTTTCTTAAACAATATTTGTCTGTTTTTTTATACTTTTAAATGAACAGCTGGGAGATACCAGGGGGTCGTATCACGAAAAAACTAAAGTTAAAGTCTAGACTTAAGTGTATAAAATGAGCACGTAAGTGCACATAACGAAGAAGACGTAAGTTTTTTTGTGATACGGTCCCTGCTAGAATAAACTACATGTGATTATCTTTCTCTCTTTCTCTTTGTTTCGCTTGTAAGACAAACCTTCTCATTATTTGTTTGGTAGAAAAAAATCACAAGCGTTCGTGGGAATAAAAATTTTGCTTGTCCAAGGAAAACTACGACTAAGACTGTTTTATTCACGAAAAGTGCGTGATACTACGTGATACTCTCCTGTTTTTCTCCTGATTTCGAAAAACAAAAATCTTTTGATTTTCCTCCTGATTTTTTGGAAAAAGTCTCTTGATCAACTCCTGATTTTTTACGACAAACTCCTCATTTCTTAAAATTGGATTTGGGCACCCTGGTTAAGATACATCAAGAAAAAATAATTAGCATAGATCTTCATACTCAACGCAGAAAGTCAAAAAATTGCATTGAGTGTGGAACCCCTAACTTTCTGCCTTTCGTATGGCCTATATTTGATCAATGTAAGTATTTATGGCCATCGAAGTGAGTAAAAGTACTGCATCTACAACTAATATATGACAGAACATCTCTGAATCGTTTTTGCGCTCAAAGAGAATGTTTAATTATCTAGCTTCAACGATTTCTATCTCTACCTTTTAAATTGCTAAATTGGATATTAGCCTCTTAATTCACAGTTTAAGAGGCTAATATCCAATTTTTTAGTGGCCAAAACTACAACAAGTGATGCTGGTGTCTGCAGCAAGATTCAAATTCAGATCAGTATTCTTTAATTTTTGCCTTTTATTGATTTGTCTTTTACATTATACGGTTTCACGAAAACTCACGTCAGCAGCGTAGTGTAGCAGTGTCACGTCAAGACTCATGTCTTGGAAAAGATCTAGTTCGATACTTTTATCGAGTTAATAGTACACTTTGGGTGTAACATTGTGGAACTATATCCCTGGTACCAGGAGGAGTATGATAGCGCAACGTTAATGTTTCTAGAATGAAATTAAAAAAGCCAGCCACCCGGGCTAACAATGTGGGAAATGGAGCTGGTCGTGATATTTTTTATGAACAAAATGTTTTTCGAATGAAAATAAATGAACTATTTCCTTGAAACCAGTTTTTGAGTTGACAAAAACTTTTGATAAAATAAGAAAATTTGACGAGTATACGTCTGCATTCTTGTTCATTTATTTATTTATCTGTATGCTTTACTTGTTTCTCTACTTCGATGCAATATTAAAGATTAAAAATTTGTCTGATAACCGTTAATATTACTATGTCATTTGAAGTCTGAAATATCTTGATCTCAAAATCATCTCAGAATGGTTATATTCTGTTCTGTTTTCCTTTCTTTCTTTGGCTCTTGCGTTTCCTTCTCTTTTAGAATTATTCTGCAGACGATCCAACTCAGAAATAAGCTAAACTTTTTTCTTCATGATTGGTCGTCCATTTTTCGCCAATTCACTTATACGATACGCTATCAATAGTTTCTGCTTTTCTTCTTTTCTTTCTGCAGACAATGTTTCTATCGGAAATTTTCAACACAGAAAAGAAGACCTTACGTTTCATACTCTGCTAGTAACGATGGAAAAAAATTCTCTTCAAAATGCTCCTTTTTTTTGTCCTATAAAATTGTCTATGTTTTACTTTCAGAGGTAAATTTATGATTTAATATGGAAAACTTATTATTGTTGTCTAAGATTGTTAATAAACCAGTAGAACAGTCTATATAATGATGACAACAACAGATCCATCATCGTTGCCTGCCAGTAAAGTATGTGATTTTAAAAGAAGTATGAATTAAAAAAAGAAAATAATATCTTCATTTTATTAGAACGTTTCACATTCGGCAGTTATTACAAAAGAAGTTGAATCACGAACTAAGTATATATCTAGTTACTATTTAAATCACTAAGAAACAAATTATTTACTCTTTTTTAGAGAGTCACCTGATCATTTATTTGAGGTATTTTTAGAAATTCGTGAACCAGTGAACGAAAATGATCGTATGTTTTGTACTATAAATATCACAAACAGTCCTCAACTATTTTTGCTTTTTACTTTTAGAGGCAGATATTATTCTTAAATATCCACCAGATTTTGCCGATGATATGCTAAAATCAGCAGCTAGTTTTGCTTATCCATGCAAAATATCGTTGTGAGTAATGATGATCGTTTTAGTTTTAGTTTTAATTAATTATACACGTTCTTGTATTTTTCTAGAGAAGACCAAGGCGAACATTACACATTTGTACTTGTTGACTCCACCGGTGTATTATTTCGTTATGGATATTGTCGGCGTTCAAACAGAGGATCAACGTGTTTGTGTATGTTAAGGTATGCAATTTTAAGGTCATGTTAGATAAAAAATCTTTCCTTAAATTGTGTTTAATTCTCTTCTTCTAGCTATTATCCCTGGTTTGAAACATTTTATACAATTTTAAATGATATATCTCAAATAATCAATTATCAAACGGTAAGTAAGCTTCATTTGACATTTTGATCATCTTCTTCTAAAACACACTTATTTGAGTCGGAACAATCTACTGTTATTGTTTCAAATACGTCAAATTTAGTAGGTGACAAACAAAATTTAATGAAAGCTGTTTTTAAAAATTCTAATTGCTAAATCTATGCTTGATCTATGCTTTAGTCAGATATCTAAAATTAAAATCATTTTATATGTCACTTTTATCACTTTAAGATCTGTTGTTATTTTTTTCTGTTTTAGACAGTTGATTTAGATACCTATCTATCTTTATTGTACAGTTATAAATTATTAATGATAGATGAATTTTATAAGCAAGAAGGAAAAGAAATAATACAAATCAAGTGTTCACAGAAAGTGAGATTTGATTTAAAATCAGATAAATATCTTGTACTAATGTTGTTAATACTTTTTTAATGGTAGGAATATTCTTATCAACGTCCTGATTTGAGAAAATTGCCAGCTGTTACATCGAGCGTATGTTAATTTGGAGAGTTAAATTTACTTAACGTCCAATTTCTTTCTTTTTCCCATCTATTTTAAGCGTAATTTTGCCGTTATGTATTCTCGTTTGGGCCCCGATATTATGTTACAATTATTTTCTCATATTTTATTTGAACGTCGCATTTTATTTGTATCATCAAAATTATTTCATTTAACAGCATGCGCATGTGGATGTTTGCATTTAATTTTTCCCATGCATTGGTAAATAAATCTAAACAAAAATTATTTCATTTTGTTAAATAGATAACTAATATTTTTTAATTTAGGCAAAGTATATTTGTACCTGTATTACCATCTTCCATGTCTTGGTTATCCCAATGTACAGTACCATATATTATTGGAGTTCATACAAGCATTTTTTCCGTAACTAGACTATCTCTCATGTTAACACATTCACTGCCATATATGCTGAAATATATGATGTGAATATGTCATTCGACGTATACTGCAGTGAATGTGTTAAAATCATTCCTACTTATTTATTTGCTCTTTACAGACATTAAATATTAGCGAATTAGGTGATGTTGTCTGTGTAAATATTGATGAACGAACGATTGAAACCCAGTATGATGATTTAAGTCGAATTCCAAAACATCTTGTATGTCTCTGTTGTTTTCTTAGAAATTTGATACTACAGAAAATTATTTATTTTAGCATCGTAGCATGAAGAAAGGTGTTCAACATTCGGAAAAATTACACGGTGATGGTTTAGCAAAAGTATTTTTACGAGCAATGGCTTTTAATATTGGTAAGTATAATAACTGATGATTGAAGAAGTCTGTTTATACAATTACAAGAACATGAAAAGATGTTAAAAGCGGAAAAAAATTGCATCTTTCTTATTTTTCTGTAAAAATATGCTGCATAATACTCTCGTCATATGATCCGGTATAAGAGAAAGGTGTATTTTATCGAAGGAAAAAAGCATCACCACACTATGCTACAAATCTATTATATGTGTTGGAGATGTTTAAAAGTAAGACAGAGTGATAAAAAATCACTATATTAATGCTGATGGCTTGTCATTTCGTTTTTTCCGTATCCATGACATAATAATCCATTGAAAATCAATAAATAGTCATTTTATCCATTCTTCGATATCTCTACGGTCTACGCGCATGTCTAATGAGAAAGTTTTTATATTTTTTTAATATGAGCAACTTATTCATCATATTAGTTCAATAATCTTTAGAACGACTTTTGAAATGCGTTATGCAGAAGTAGAACAGAAGCACCTGCTGATTGATTTCATGTATTACCCGTGACCACTATAAAGTCACTACTATAAAGGAGAAAAGTATAGTGTAATGTAGTATAGAAATTTTTTTTATCCACTTGTATTTTATTGATCACATTTATCACCCATCATCTAACAATATTTTTCCTTTTTCTAGGCACATATTCGAATGGTTTTATCTTAAAAGACGATACATTAGATTTTGATCGTGATCAGTATCTTCGTCAATATGAAAATACACCCATACATGAATATATGTCAGCTATAGCACACACGCAAATGTTTGAACAGGTATATTAGTAAAGGGATCTATTCTAGTCAATAATCTTTTATGTATGATTCTATCCATTTAGTTTTCGAGATATCGTACAGACTCATTAACAACAGCGTTCGATGATGAATTTGATATTGAAGTTAAAAATATACAACAGTTACAACAAAACAAAAAAGTATGAAAAATAGACAAAGTTTTAAAAAGATATACAAATTTTATTTTACTTTTTACAGTATTTTCAGCAAACTGCAAGAGATATTTTCACAAAAGCAAGTGTTAAGAGAGCATGTCTTTTCGATATGCCCAATTTTTGTTGCATGAAAAAAAGCCTATTTCTATATATTTATCCATTTAAACAGAATTTGTTTCATTTGTCTGTAAAAAAATAATGGCTAGAAAACAATCTTTTATCCCTACCTCATGTTTAATATTTGATCGTTTCGTGTGCTATTCTACAATAGAAAAAAACTAGATGGAAAAGACATTTTGTTTGTTTTTTTGTTTAGATGAAAAGCAGCAAGAAGTTTCATAGAATTTTAGAAAAAGTAAGTTCTTGAATTCTTCCATAATAAGTGTTGTAAGACTAATACTAATCGTGTTTTACAGTATGTAAAATATGGTGTTGTTCCTAACACTACCTTAGACAAACGTTCAACATTAAGAAAGCGATTATCTTTATTAGATAATCATGAAACGGTATCATAAAATGAAAAATTATGCTGAAAATCAATTGACACTATTCTTCTTCTTGCTGTCAGAAAATCGATGCCGATATTTCTGGTTTTTACAAATCACAAAGTTTAAATATCATTATGCTTGGAAAACATTGAGTTCATCTCAGCCGTTATCTGCTTTTTAAAACAATCAACAGGCTACTGTAAAACATTACACGCTTTTTATCTTCTGAGCTTTTTAAAAAATAATTATTAGTTCTTCTCTAGATTTGTGACGTGTATTTGAAAACTTTGTTCCCACAATCTCCTTTAGAAGAGCTTACAGTAAAATACTCAATGAATAAAATGCATAAAAAGCAATAAATGCAATAAAAAGCATTCTAATGTCAGACTCGCTTTTGTTCGCATTTTATTCTTCTCTTTGGCAATATATCACTTATATACACCAAAAAAAGTGTTTTCTCCCGTTGAATTGCTCGCTAAAAGAACAATATTTCCCGGACTCTCTTTTTGCTTGTCGGCTTGGGATAGATCTCTTATATGAATTGTTCTCGCTGTTTTCCATGCTCTGTGAACTGCTATTTGTAAAAATGATATTGATAGAAAAATTGAGCATTTCTTTGTCTCTTCTAGGCAAATCCTATTATTGAACAAGTTCAGAATCGCGCGGAAAAATTGGGAACAGTGGTAAAAA